CATACATATATACATATACATATATATATATTATAATACTTGAATTTTATCGATCATCTCTCTCTCTCTCTCTGTTTCAGTCTCTCTCTCTATCTCTCTCTCGCTCTCTCTCTCTCTCTCTCTCTCTCTTTCTCTCTGTCTGTCTCTCTTTCACTTTCTAAACCATGAAGATACCTTACATTTCAATTAACGTTTCTATCATCCTTCTTCACTTCCCATTCTCTTTCTTCTTCTAAACATCACTTCTAGTCGGATAGACGAACATAGAACGAACGTTTGTTCTCGACTAACGACATCGTGGACGGGCACTTGCCTTAATCGACCACAGCATTTTGCTTGGTAAGCGAAGTTAGCTTGTCCGAATGTATTTTCAACTATTCTCTCTCTATCTCTATCTTTCTCTCTCTCTATCTATCTGTCTATCTATTTCTCTCTCTCTCTCTCTCTCTCTTTCTCTCTCTCTCTCTTGACTAAATATAATTGAGTTTATATGCTTATATTATTGCGATAACAACTCGTTATACGTCGGATCGTATAGTTTATATTTATATATATATATATATATATATATATATATATATGTATATATATATGTATATCATTCTAATTTATGACGCTAATTAATCTTAGAAATTATTCTATAATAATAAAATAATTATTATATCTAATTAAATTATTTATGTATCAATATTATGTATCAATATTATTTATGTATCAATTATTTATATATCTTATTAAATGATTGATATATAATTAATATTATTTTATATTATATCGATAATATTATTTTCTTTCTCTTCTTCGTCTCAATTTTTCCTTCTTCTTCTTCTTCTTCTTCTTCTTTTTCTTTTGCTTCTTCTTCTGAATTTTCTGATTTACGTCTCTTTGTTTTTTTCTTCTTTTTTTTTTTCTTTCGCTTCTTCCTCTGATTTTTCAGTTTTGCCTTTCTTCGTTTTTTCTTCTTCTTCTTTTTCTTCTTCTTCTTCTTCTTCGTTATCTTCCATGGTTGTTGTTAGACGTGAAATTGAGAATTTTTATCATGACTCATTGTATTAACGAACTTCGGCGAATGAAGAATGAGCATGGATTTAACGGAGCTGATGTTAATAGGATCAACAAGGCTATTCACGGATGGATAAGAAATTTAATATCTTTCCTGTTCACACCTCTAAGAGGAAGAAGTTTCGTTAAGTAATGATATCTATTATATGTTCGAGCAAATATATATATATATATATATATATATATATATATATATATGCTTTGGTAATTCGATAATATTTTGTAATTATTGTTAAGAAGAAAATGAAATATTGGATTAGATAGAGAAAGAGAGCGAGAGAGAGAGAGAGAGAAATTAATGTAACTAAACGTCATTTAACATATTGATTATTATTACTACTTATTAATTATATATATATATATATATATATATATATATATATATGTGTAAAATTAAATTAAATGAATTAAATAAAATAAAATTGAAAAATTAATTTTTACATTGAAATTCAAACATTATTCTTATTAAATAATATATTTTTAACCGTTTGAATCTTACAAAATAGAAGAGGGAAGAAAAAGAACCAAAAAGAAAAAAAAAAGAGAAAAGAAAAAATAAAAAGGACAAATTTTTGAGAACGAAGTCTATTAAGTTACGTGTATAACGCTACCAATCAAAAATAATCAATAACCACCATTGCGTTATTCAACGTGTCAATATAAATTTTTTACATAAACAAAAAATAACAAACAACCAAAAAAAGAGAGAGAGGGAGAGAGGAGAGATATGTCGGATACGCATGTACTATGTCATTTTTAGTATGAAAAATTTCTGTATGCTTAATACGAAGAAAATCCGATTAGCACCCCCTCCCCTCCCCTTTCGGTCTATCCCCTCTCCTTTTTTGTCGACGTTGTGATTATACAAAAAAGAAAAAGAAAAAAAAAGAAGAAAAAAAAAGTAAGAAAGAAAGAAAGAATTAAGTAAAAAGACAAAATCAAATATCAATATTCCTTTCGGTACTTTCATTTTTTATATTATTCATTTTAAATGATCGAGCATGATGCGGATCGTGCACAATGACGACGATGATATTTATATTCAAAAAGAATGAAATTTATAATATTTCAATGATCGCGGGGTTGGAGGAGGAGGGGCGAGGCCGGAGGACCGGAGGACCGGAGGACCGGAGAGAGTTGAGGAGAACAATCGCATTATCGCATAAAATAATGGAATGACGATGCCAACGTATTGATTTCTATTATTCAAACTGATAGATATTAAATAAAAGCGCGATCCATGGCAAGGTATAGTTCAACGAACAATCAATCACCAACGTGATTCGTTTGGGCAAATAAATCATCGCGAATAATATGAATCATATTGATTGACGCCTCGACAAATCCCCCATTGACTGTGGTAATATGGAGACGTCATTGACTTTCGTAAACCGCCGGATTTCAACTATGTTTTTTCATTATACGATGAAATAATCATCGAGATTATTGAAAATCTGTATAATATAATCATTGACATAATCCAAATATCCTCGTTACATTCATAAACGTTTCTTTTATATCCTACACAATATA